TAAACCCTAAACACTAAACCCTAGCATGATGCTGCGCTCCGTTTTGTGGCTTTCTTTCGTCCGTGTAGAAACATTGGCGGTCAGTGTCCTTAGTGTCTGAGTGTTGGCTCTTTCGGGAACTCAACGCTGGAGTGAGTAGACTGAGGTCATGAGCGAACTTCGAATGATTCGTGAGTAAAGAACACCGAACCCAAGCGTAAAGTTTTTTTGGTGCCCCCCCACCCTTCGACAAGTTCCAGTTCTTGTATTCGTATATGCAATATAGATTGTTTTCTTGTGGTGGCAAACTTAGTAGTCGTCATAATGACCCTTCGTGGCCATGCAAGCTGGGGTGCAGCGTCTGATGTTTCTCGGTAATTTCTCGGGCCCCAAATAACACCTAAACATAAGCTCTTGAATCGTACTTCCATATAGGGGGATGCTCGGAAAGGCTAACCTTTGAACCCTAAACCCTTAAACCCTAGGCCCTAAACCCTTAACCCTAAACCCTAAACCCTAAACCCTGAAACCCTAAACCCTAAACCCTAAACCCTAAACCCTAAACCCTTAACCCTTCAACCCTAAACCCTAGTGCCGCTTTTCAGCTGAAGCCTCTCCCGGCCGAAGGAGCAGAAGCAGGAGGCCAATCTCCAGACGAAGATGGTGCGAAGCTGAGCAGTTCGGAATTTGGGTGTAGTTATTGTTTAGGGTTTAGGGTTTAGGGAATAAGGGTAGTTTTCTAAATCAGGGTCCCTTTTGGGGTCCTTTTTATGAGGGTGCCGTATTATATTGGGGACCTAAAAGGGAACCCTATTTAGAGAACTGCCCAATTAGGTGTATTGATTTAGGTTTTAGGGTTTAGCATTTACTTTTTGCCACTCCGTCTGGATCCTTGGAAGGTTGCTTTGAAGATTCGTTCAAGGGTGGTCTCACAATTTTTTCCGCAATTTAGGCTACAGGGTTCAGGGCTAATGTGTCGGGCGCGTTGTTTGGAGCCCGCAATGCATTGGGGCTATTGCCTTCAAGAGTTTGTGTCCACGCCTCTTTTGGGCTTCGAGTAAAGGAAGAGTCTACAGGGACTCCCTCGGACGGTCGGTGAGGGTAAAGTTGGGTTGGGGTTTTGCTCTTGCCATCGCTGGCTCGACGGGTCTGGACATCATCGTCCGTTTTCTTTTTTTTGGCAGGTGTATGCAAAGTATCAGTATGTACCTACATGCGATCTTCTGAGCTCGAAAGACGATGGGGCATTTGTGCGGAGTCTTTGCGCGTCATGGAGTTTCATTGCGAGTTCCTGGTTGCGCCGGGGTGGTGTGAAGCTGACGTACCATCTATCATCCATGCCGCCTGCGTTGCACGCCGGCTATGCGCAGTTTGCCGGCTGTGTTCCCGCAAATATGAGGCCATGAACAATTCCGTGTCAGGTTGGCAGTGAAAGTTATTATGCCACGCCTACACCCGAAACCCTACATCCTAGGTCATTCGCCCTAAACACTGTGCGTTGAACCTCCTAAAACTTCGGGTTGGGCCTTGCTATAGTGGTCTGAGCGCCTTATCGTTCCTGCATACTTACATAGCAATGAGTTATACAGTGATATACCTCAAAACCGTGTTCTAATAATTCAGCATGTCATACAATTCTTGTAACTCCTACATCCCGTACACGGAGGAACTTGATACCCTCTGAAGTTTTCATACCTGCGAAAGTCCCGTGTGGGGCCCTGGCTGAGTTTACTTGGGGGGAACACTTTAAAGAAGCATTCAAGACGCCTCTTCATCAGGCCCATCGGATCCCCTAGCCTAAGGCTTCGAGTCAAACCAAGAAGCCCAAAAACGCCCTAGCGGTCTAGCTTTGAGGATTTGGGGTTTAGGGCCCTACTCAACCCTGCTTAAAGAATCAAAGAGCTCTGATAGCAGCCCTCAAGACCCCATTACAAACCCATCTGCAAACCTCATGGAACCTTGTAAGACCCTAAACCCAAAACCCTAAAGCCGTAAAGTCTTACGCTTACAAACCCTAAACCTAAAACCCCAAACCCTTAAAGCCTGAACCTT